TACTCATCTAGTAGATCTCCCGAGGTATATTCTGGGTTCTCAACAATATTATGTACATTTCAGAAGAAGATGAAAAGTAGGTTGTCATATCCAAGAATCCTTGCAAAGAATATTACTGAGAATAAAACATATGCTTTATAAGATCTAAGAGAAAAGACAGAAAGAAATGTGTAGTTTGATAGAGAAAAATATATCTAAAGCACCAAAAATCATACTGATATGACAAAATAGAATATTCCACAGTGCTTAAATTAGAAGATAAAATAGTAGTAATAATAATGGCTAACATTTATTAACTGCTTATTCTATGCCAAATGCTAAGCATTTTACAGGCATCATTTCATTGAATCTTCCCCAAAACAGCCATTTTACAGATGAAGAAATTAAAACTTAACAGAGCATGGGTAACTTGACTGCTGCTTGGTCAGCAGCAGTACCAAAACTCTAATCCAAGACCCTTATACTCCCAACCATTATGATTTCTTGTCTTAATACAAAGTGAAGTTAAAAAGAAGCATGGAGAGGCAACCAGAGATGAAGTTTTCTATGCAATAACATCAAAATATTTAAAAGAAAAACATCCTAAAATGTAAATATTCTAAAATCTCTGTCAGTAGTTTGAAGACTGTGGGTCAAAACATGACCTCAAAAGAGGGGGGTTAGAATCAAAAAGGGTTTTACTCTTTATGAGGAAGACTTCAGCATGGAACAATTAAAAAGAACTGAGAAGATCTCTGAAGAATATTGGCTTACATATATTTTTCCTAAAAAAAGCAAATAGAATTAATTTGACTAAAATGTTATAAAATAGGAAAAATCATTTCACTTGGTAATCCAGTTACTGCTAACATAGTTAATACAATGGTATTTAGGGGCCATCAAGATGCAAATTCAGGAAGTATTAGAGCCAGGAGTGATTAGAACTTCTAGTGGCCTGGGCTTCTTCATGAGTTCTGGTTTCAAATTAGGACCATAAAAGTGGATTCTGTGTTGATTATAAAAAATAATCTGCTAATCTATAATGCTCCTTTGCTTAGAGTTGAAGCATTATGACTGGATTTCGGAACTGCTAAAATCATGTCAATTATTGATTTAAGTTTCAACATATAGTCCTAGGGGAACACTAGAGGCATCAGTTAGGGCTCTTTGCAACAGAAGCAACAGCAACATGAGGCTTGGAACACAGCAGGTCCAGAGAGGCAACAGGGTCTACAGAACACAACTAACATAGTCTAATCAGGACACAGGCATTGGAATGAATGAATGCCAACTACTTTTCGTCTTTTTATCCCGTGTTCAAGATTCAGATTCCAAGGAGGGAGCAACCAATCAGCCTAGCTTGCATCACCAGTCCTCCTCTTGGCTGGTAGAAAAGAGAGGCCCTGAAAAGTCCTACCTGATTTCTTCTAGTGGGGAAGAAGAAATTCCTCCAAAGGTGATGTTTGGAAGAGAGAAATAAATGCTGGACAGAAAACAACAGTATACAACCCTGCCCTGGTACCCTTAGCACTTGGATTGAGGAGTATTCCTACCTCTTCCCAGTGAGGAATTGCTCCGCAAAGACGCTGAAGGTTGGGCTGCTGGACTCTGAAGTGAACTAGCAGTGATGATCATAAGCCATATGCTGACTCCTCTATTTATCGGAAGTAGAAAATCAGGAACATCTCAGGCTGGTTCTAGGTTCAATCCATTAAAATCAATCTGAGGTATAATGTGTAAAATGCCAATATGGACTTCCAGAAGTCGAATAACCGAGACAGGAAAACGAGAAAACTAAAGCCCCACAATCAAGAAAAAAAGCCAGCCATCTCTTTTGGAAGGCTAACGGGTTCTTATCAAAGGTTTGTCCCTCATCCATGGCAACAAGCTAGTCCACCCTTAATGGACTTGGAATAAAACAGACACCTGATGAGAGTATGCATCTCCACAAGGTCGGGAAACTTCTGAAAAACTAAAACAGGGTATGAATTATTTGAGGGTTCTGCAAAGACCCAGGCTTTTCAAATCTTTTTTATGGTATCAGGTGACACATCAAATACTGATTTGTGGATAATTTTATTACCAGACCGTGATAATGTAAAGCATGCTGTAATATAGCCCAAAAGAAAATGATTGCCAAGGGAATGAAATTTATTTGTCTTCTTTAAGGAAAGAAACTTTGGCAATTATTTGAGCCATAACATCGTTGTTTATGAGAGTACCCTGAGGACTGATCATTAAGCTTTAATACTAGGATGAAAAATTGCCAAAGAGGAGCAGAGGTGGCTATAGAGGATTTCAGGACTTCTAAACAAACATTCAACATTTCCCAGCTGGTGACAATTCTTATGCAGGGCTCCTCATAAAAAGTAGAGCTTCTAAATGCCTCTCATGAGTCTAAGAGGATATTATAATTTTTCTTAAAATAGTTTCACTTAAGAAATAGAAGGAAAAGATACACAAGGAGAACATGAAAACTTGACTTCTCACATCTCCCGTGTGTTCCCAGTCACAGTGGTAGAAAGACCTAACAGGGCAATGGGCATATTATGATAATATAAAGACAAGATTGCATCATAATAAACCAAACTCTCTCTGGACTGTGAGAGGCCGTGAGATGGGTCCTGAGAGAAACAGTTCTAAAAGAAAGATAAGTTTTACTTGCCATGGAAATAGGACTGAAGTACTAATGTCCTCCAAGCACTAGGCAGTAGCGAGCGGCTGCAGAAGCATCTGCTGAGAAAATGGATCTGAACCCCCAGTAGTCTTCCAGCAGAGATCAGACACCACTTGGCCTGGTCAGCTGAGACTATCCAATACCATCATCAAATTCCTTCATTCAGATGCTGGAAATTCTACTGTAATGAGGCTCTCCCCTAATACTGCCAGGACAGACTTCCCCACCTTGAACACTGATAGCATCTGTTTATCCAGAATCCTTAGACTTCGTACAAGCTAGACTCTACTTTCTCTCTGGTCTCACCTCTTCCCATCCTCTCCAAACACTTCCCTCCCCTTTGCCATTGCATCGAAGCTTCTGTTACACTGAATGACCTCCAGGACCACAAGCACTCTATGACCTTTCTAGCCTCAGGACCTTTGCACAGGTTGTTCTCTCTGCCTTCCATGTCCTTTCCACTTTTGTCTTTCTCTTTCTCTGGGTACTCCTGCCTGTCTTTCAGTATTCAACTTCACGTCACTTTTTCTGGATGTTTCTTCAAATATTCCCCACTGTTGGGTTAGGTATTCCCTTCCTGAATTCCCCTGGCACTCTTGCAATTAGAGCACCTATGACAATGACTCATAATCACCTACTTACACATCTATGTTCCCATAGACTGGATTTATCTTGAAGACAGAGACCACAAAGAGCAGGCAATCCATTAATATTGGTTGAATAAAGAAAGGATTTTTGTTTGTTTTTATCCCTTGTACTCAGCATAATACCAGGCACATAGTCAACTTGCAATAAAACATTTGCTGAATGGATCATAGGCACTCAAAAACATATGTTGGATGAATGAAGTGATGGACTTATGATCGGGAAGTAGTACGTACGAGAAATCTAAAATTCCAATATTCTATTGCATTGGCCAAAAAGTTGGTTCAGGTTTTTCCATAACCTCTTATGGAAAATCCGGAATGAACTTTTTGGTCAACCCAATACTTTCTAACTTCCAACACCTATCCTTCTAGCTCTCTCAGATTCTGATTTTCTGGTCCCTGACCTCATAGAGATGCCCAATCTCTTGATATCTCCATAGTCTACCAAGTCTTTAAAAGTCTTGATGGTGTTACTTCCTTCCCTACTCAATCTACACCCATTTTTCATTATGAACTTCTAACCTATACTTTCGTACTTTTTAAAAAAATCCAGTCCAGTACAAATCTCTACTGTCACAAATATTCTACTGTCACAGCTACTAAGAATACCACACCAGGATAATATCATACCAGCATGCAGATGAGGCCACCTGAAAATCTATGGTCTTCAACCTCAGCCAGAACTTCAGGATGCTGACCAGCCCTTTAACTTAGAGTCAGCTCCCTCATCCATTCCTCTCCACTCTCCAATCACCTTCTCTCTCCCCAGTCCAACTAGCCACCCTCACTCTCCATGGCTGGCAGATTCCCTTGCCTCCTATTTTACAGATGATTGAGATGAGAAGGCATCCACTCAACTCTCTGCCTCCACACCAATGGACTTATTGAAATCTACATCTGTCTGTTCCTCCTTCCCTTTTATATCGGAGGATGAGGTGTCTGCTCTGCAGCCCACCCTCCACTGAAGATGAATCACTTTACATGTGCTTTCAATCTCATCCCCTTCCCTCTTCTATTAGAGGACCCCACTATATGTCAAACTCTTCTTAAACTCTGTATCCTTCCCCTAGCTTTGACTTACTCTTTTCTTTCCCTTGTCAGACAAGCTACTTGTATTCTCTACCTCATCACATGCCATTCATTCAGCCAACACAATCAAACTTTTGTGATACACAGGGGCAAAAATAAAACAGAAATGTGATTCCTCTCAGAAATTTAAACTCTAAAATCAACACACAATGAATAAGTAAGAAGACAGAACAATTTCCAGGTCAGAGAGAGACAACAACAGCAAGGCAATTGGTCCATAAGTCAACAATATCCATCTGAGAGAAGGTACTTTAGCCCATGGACTTTAAGTATTTTAGTTCCATAGTAAGGAATGCATTTATGCTGGCACAGTGTCACTTACATTCTACGATTTACCTCATTTTGAATCCTGATTTTATTTAGCTCCCCATGTAAGGTCTCCCTGCAGAGAGAGAACCTCTCATTTCAGGAGAGTACAGGGCTGGAGATACAGATTAATTTCCCTGCTTAGAACTATTGCACTTCACAAAGAGACTAGACACGGCAAATCTAAAAGCTCATAATCTAATGTTAACGGCAACACATTATTTTTACCAAAGAGAAATAAATCATTCATTTTTGACAGGGGTTGCATGTCAGGACTAAAAGAAGAAATGATATATTGTTACCATCAAGAAGTTATGTAGAGATGTACAGGTTGCATCTTTCTCAAACATTAGAAGGGTTTTCTGCATCAAGTAAATTGCTTTGGATAGCTTATTCTTCCTTATTTTATTCATTACACTTAATTCTGTAAAAGCAAACAAACATTTCATCAAAAGGGCAACATAAAAACTATCTTTAAAAAATGCGGAAAGACAGTTTATCCAAAACTTAATTACCTGTAAAACAATCAGGACTTCCAGGTTTTTTTGGCTTTCCTGGACCTTTGGTAGACATATTTTTGCTAACAGTTGGAGTCTGCAAAACTGGAGGAGGAGGAGGAGGAGGAGGAGGAGATTGTCATCACAATTAGGTTTATGTTCAAGAAAGGAAACACCTTCTAAACACTAAAGAGTAACTATTTGTAAAATTATTGCTTCCTCTATCATGTCATCTTTTTTTCATTAATAGATAAAAATTCAAACAAATCTAATACAGTTTCATCATTAAATTCCCTTACTTGCTACTGTATGAGATCAAGAATTTTTAAATTATAACAATATTTGATTTTCTATTTCACCTTAAATAAAATTATCTTGAAGGTTGATAAATAGGGTCCAACCAACTTTTGTTCACTTTCCCTCTTCATAAACTTTTCAAAATTGCTCCATCCATGGTTCCTTCAAGAGCTCTGGGTACCACATGAAGACCTCCATTCTCTTCTATCTGTGGCTGATAAAATCAGAGCCTCTCTCAAGATTTTCAACTAACACACAAATTATTGCCAATTGATTGTGAGCAGTGAGAGGTCCTGGTGTGCAACTAGGACTGACCATCACGGTGGTCCAGGAAAGAGGTAGCAGGATGAGGGAGAAGAAGATAAAGGTATGCTGGTCCAGGGAGATGGAGAATATTGCACTGATTCTTGATTTTCCAGGTCTGGCCCTCAAGAGACCTGGAATATATTGTTTCTCTCCTTAAAGGTACATGAGTGTACCTGTAGTAACCTTACAATAAACCCCTTTTATTGAGGTTTAACTATTTGTGCTAATGCACATGAGTCACGATGGGATGATGATTGATTGATGAAAAGATGCCAAAAGACACCGTTAAAGGATATAAGGTTTCTTTAATGGCAAAGGATAAGGAAATTTATCTTCATGGAAATAGCAACACAAAGCGGAAAATAATGCTTCTTTCTCTCAGTACCTAGGGTATTATAAATGCTAATTAAGTGATAGCTCTCATGATTATAATCACTGGAGATAAGAAGGATGAGATTGCAAGAAAACTCTGAATGCCCAATACAGGAGTCACATTTAAATGCCACAGTCATCAGTAGACAACCACTGTAAAGTTCTTGAATAAGAATGACAAAAGCAGTATTTAGGCAACATTAGTCAGACAGCAGCATACAAGAGTGAAGAATGACAGGAGAAAAAAAGTGATAATCTGTGCTAGGGTGGCAGTTCAATAAAGCAGAGAAAAACATCAAGCAGATCCAGAGATATTGCAAAGAAATAATAACTAATCCTATGTAAATACACACACACACACACACACACACAGAGAGAGAGAGAGAGAGAGAGAGAGAGAGAGGAGAGAAAGAGTCAACTACAAATTGGCACTTGCCACTGGCACTTGCTATCTACCTCTACAAGGATTAGATCATGTGCTGCTGCAGCTGCTGACTTTCAACACCCCCTGAAAGAAGCTCAGAGTGGAGAGCAGAAATGAGGCCCTCTGTGCTCTGGGAAAAACTGGTAGAACAGGTCTTCAGATAGTTAGGTATTTTCAGGAGTTGATTTTATAAGCCCAATTCTTGTATCCCCTCACATCTAGAAAAGCACTAAAATCTTTCATGGTGACGTCTGCTCCTCGTTACTAGCAGAAACCTTCTGCAAAAAAATATGTGCTTCATTGCATGTACTCCCCGCCTTCACCAAAATCACATATATACTGACCTTCCCCCTACCTCTTTGGAGCAGTTTCTCAGAGTTATCTGAGATGCTGTCTCCCAGGCTATACTCCTCATTTTGCCCCAAATAAAACTTAACTTGCAACTCTCATGTTGTGCATTTTTTTAAAGTCGGTTATCTATATATAGATATATAGGTATCTATAGATATATAAAAAACTCAAGCCATTTAATAATAAAAAAATCTGATTTTAAAATGGGCAGAAGGGGGCTTCCCTGGTGGCACAGTGGTTGAGAGTCCGCCTGGCGATGCAGGGGACACGGGTTCGTGCCCTGGTCTGGGAAGATCCCACATGCCACGGAACGGCTAGGCCCGTGAGCCATGGCAGCTGAGCCTGCGCATCCGGAGCCTGTGTTCCGCAACAGGAGAGGCCACAACAGTGAGAGGCCCGCGTACCGCAAAAAAAAAAAAAAAAAAATGGGCAGAGGAACTAAATAGACATTTTTCCAAAGAAAATATACAAATGGCCTACTAGTACATGAAAAGATGCTTAACATCACTAATCATCAGGGAAATGCAAATCAAAACCACAATAAGATATTACCTCACGCCTATTAAAATGGCTATCATCAAAAAAGACAAAAGATAATAAACATTGGCGAGGCTGTAGATTAAAGGATATCCTTATACACTATTGGTAGGAATGTAAATTGCTTAAGCCACTATGGAAACACTTTTGTGTTAAGTCACTATGGAAAACACTATGGAAAAAAATTTTTTCTCAAAAACTTAAAAATAGAACTACTATATGATCCAGCAATCTACTTCTGGTTATATCTCCAAAGGAAATAAAAACAAGATCTTAGAGATATCTACAGTCCCATGTTCATTGCAGCATTATTCACAATAGCTAAGATATGGCAACAACCTAAATATCCATCAGTGGGTGAACGTATAAAGAAGATGTGACACACACACACAGTGGAATATTATTCAGTCAGGAGAAAGACATTTGCACTAATATGCATGGACTTTGAGGGCATTATGCTAGGTGAAATAAGTTACACAGAGAAAGACAAATACTGTATGGCATCACTTATAGGTGGAATCTAAAAAACCCAAACTCATAGAAACAGAGAGTAGAATGGTGGTTACCAGGGGCTGAGGAAGTGGGAAAATGGAGAGATATTGGTCAAAGGGTACATAAGATGAATAAGTTCTGGGGACCTAATGTACAGCATGGATCATAGTTAATAATACTGTAGTAGACACTTGTAAGCTGCAAAGTGAGTAAATCTTGAATGTTCTCACCACAGAAAAAGAAACGGGAATTATGTGACATGCTTGAGCTGTTAGCTAACACTATGACAGTAATCATTTTGCAATACGTTAGTATATCAAATCTACACGTTGTACACCTTGAACTTACATAATGTGGTATGTCAATTATATCTTAATAAAGCTGAGGAGAAAAAGTCTGCACTCAAAAATTATTTAATTAACCAGCACTTGATTAAATTTGTTCAGCTGTATATATGACGGGACATCTGAATGTATTCGACAGAGATCAGAAGTCATGTTAGGCTGGAACACTCAGTTCTATTCTATAATTACTCAGTAATTTAAAATGAGGAAGTGGTAGGTAAATGAATATTGACTATATAATCATGCCAGGAGTAACTTGGCTTTATCAAAATTTAACCTCAAACAGAAGAGATTTTTAGACCTAATAATATTTTAAATCTTATCCTGAAACTTGAGTAGTTGTGTTTCTATATGCACACTAGAATTACTATCGGCATTTTTTTTTAATGTTTTGACCTATTTACCTAAATAATGAGGCAAAAACAACTTAGATCCAACTCATCTGTCTTCTCACACTGCTGTCAGAGATGTCTTTCTAAATTTTTCAATAGCTTCCAGGATAAAATATAAACCATTTAACCCTTCAAGATCTGTGATCTACCTCTCTAGGCTTATCTGTGTCAATCTCCCATGTGTGCTCTTTACTGCAGCCATAAGAAAATTCCAGCAGTTTCTAGATTGCACCATATAATTGTTTGCTTCCACCTTACTAAAAGTTGCTTTCTCCATTCAAAATGACTGCCTCCTTCTCAATTTTCTTCATAAAGATATTTATGAAGATAAAGATAGCTTTCTGGTCAACTATCACTTCTTCCAAGAAGCCATCCCTGACTTTCTTGACTGTTATACTCTTCTGTGTGCCCATAACAAACACTCTGAGCCCACTTTTATTGCATTTATTAACCTTGACTATTATAAGTAAGTTGGCTTACTTATCTAGAAGCTCAAAATTAAAGGCTGTGTCTTATTTGGACCAAGTTTAATATGGTTCCTAGATTTGATAGAGACTCAATAAATGTTTGCTTCATTAAATTAATAAAATATCAATAATTTACTATAACTCAAGCAATTTAATTTTTTAGAAGTTTACTGATTTGCTATGAAAGGTGTAAAGAAATAATGAAACATATCTATTGATATTTATCAGAGAAGTAAGAAAAAATAAAATGAAATTTATCTGGAAAACACCTAGTCAACAACAACACTGTTTACAAATTAAATTGATTCTGTACTTGAACTTGTCTTAAAACTGATTCAGAACAAGTTATTTGCTTTGATGGCTACTACCTTGCAATTGGTCAAGAAGCACAACGGCCATTCGGTGCTGGGCTTGAATTAGTTCAAGATGCAAATCCATTATGAAACTATTTGGTGTGACTGGTTTGCACGTGTCTCCATCTATACCGTGGGTGTGCTTCAGCAGAATTGAAGTAAAAATTAAAAAGGCATATGGTTATCAAAACATACTAAAAACAGCTCTGTCTTATTATCATTCAGGTTATCACTTTACTCTTAGCCATTAAAGTCTGCTCACTTCTCAACTCTTTGCAATCTGGCTTACACACTAAGAAATCTGCTTTTCAAATTCACCAGCAGCCTCTTCAGTGACAGATTCAAAGACTCCTCACCCTCCTTGATTTCTTCTGGGAAAAAGGGAATATATTTCTGGCCTATGAGAGGGAAGCCACCACAAACCATGCTTTACTTACCTATTTGCAAGGCCGGCCCTCTTCCTAGTTAAGTAAAATAAACCTAATGTAAGAGTTTCTCATTCTCACCGTGGCATAGCAATGGTCAACCACTGATGATCCATTTGGCAAAGCAGTTAACATGCAATTCAAATTTATTCCACCAATGGCTTTTTCAAGAAGTTCATAGGCCAAAAATAACTGTTCCTCAGGTTTTTTCTAAAGGAATTTTATAAACAAAACAGAAAAATTAAATTTAAGGGAAAATCATATACAACACTTCCCAACTTTTTAACAATAATTCAAAACCAAATGACCAATTTAAATAGTCTATCCAAAATCAACGACATATTTCTTACTAAGTATATTTGCTTTTGATTAAACGTGGAATACTAATAAAGGTAAAATAATAAATACAGTTCATCATTTTTCCAAATATTAATTAAACTTTTCAAAAACATGTATATAACTTCCTTTTATGGTTTTCAAAATTCTGATAGTACCAAATGTATAGGTAAATTTTAAAAATCTAACTCATAATTTGTCATTTTCACATACTTTATTTTGAAAGTTAATTTTTTTTGAATCTCTGAACTGGAAATCTAGACTTGGAGGCCATCAAATCCAATGGTCTACATTGTAATTTTCAAAAACTAAATACCTTCTATTATAATTATCCTCACAGAGAGACAAATACAGAGAATAACATAAAGAGCAACCAGCTTTGTTCAAACTTTCTAATTTTGCATATTTTCTTCAGAAGATGTTTAGGAAATAAAGCAAACACATACTGCAGATCACTGAAATCCCCTGTATAACTGTTTATAGTGACTCTCCTCTTCTCTGCCCCTAGAGGTAGTCACTGTCCTTGAATTTGGTTTTTAACCATTCTTTTGCATGTTTTTAAACTTTTACTACATGTGTATGTGTCCATTAACAATATACAATATCACTTTGCATATTTTTAGTTCTCTTGTAAAATTCTGCAGTTCACTTTTTTCACTCAACCATATGTCACTGAAATCTTCTCCTGCAACTCAGTGTGTCAGTCAGGGTTTAGTTAGGAACACAGAGCAACTCTAGGTATTGCAAGCAGAAAGGGATTTAATGCACAGAACTAGAAGTGTCCATCACTGCTGGAAGGCCTGGGAAAGCAAAGATCAAGAAAGCTGTCAGTGATGAATTTACAGGAATCTAAGAATCCAGGAGGCAGGTGACAACCTCAAGTGTCTGCCACGCTGAAGCAAGTGAATTGCAAGGGCTTGCTCAGCGAGGCTGGTCAATTAACTTCTTCCATCCACCACTGCAGAATAAGAACTCTCTCTTCCCTTGTGTGTTACAAATTCATGCAAATGCCCCTCACTGGAAGACTAACCTAGAACCGTATGGAAATGAGATGGTGGGAAATGTAGTTCCAGGTTTTCCCACTGTAGTGTGAAGGTGACTCTAGACCTGGATGGCAATGATGCCAGGCTGACTCTAGTTCAAGCCCACTTTAGCTCACTCACCTTCACTGCTACGATGAAATGGTGTTGTGCTGAGGACTACATCACAATTCACTTATCCACTCTTCTGCTGATGGACATTTAGATTGCTATTACTAAAAGTGTGCAACGTATTATACTAGTCTGATACTTCCTTTACAGTCCTTATACCTTTCCTTCTGCTCTTCTTTTTTCACACAGCTATCTAAGGCCCCTAGGACATTGTGATCAGAAGAATGACAGATGTCTTTAAGTTGTTACATCGATATAAAGGGACTGCTTTTCATCTTTTACCATAGGTGTAAGTCATTAAAGGTCTTGAATGATACCCTTCATGGGATACAGAAGTTCTCTTCTATTCCTAACTTGTTAAGAGTTATTTTTTAAAAGGTGGTTGTTGAATTTCGTCAAATGCTTTTGTTGCAGCTCTTTATCTAATGAGGTGGTCGCTATTTTCTCCTTTTCATCTGCTAATGTGGTGTACTGCATTATAGATTTTCTAATGTCAACTCATACTTGCATTCTGGAATATACATAACTTGATTACACATATTAAAGATATATATATAGACATGAATCTCCATTCAAGAATCACTGGCTCATAAACAACAAGCTCCTACCGTATAGCACAGGGAACTATATTCAATGTCCTGTGATAAACCATAATGGAAAAAAATATGAAAAAGAATGTATATATATGCATAATGAATCACTTTGTAATACAGCATAAATTAACACAACACTGTAAATCAACTATACTTCAATAAAATTTTTTAATTAAAAAAAAAAAAGAATCACAGGCTCAGGGAGAATCACAACCCAAATACTGTAAATTTGAAAAACGGACCTACATGAGGGCAGGTCGAAATTATTAGGAAGAGAGACTTTCTCCTGTTTACTCCTCTTTCAATACCCAAATTGAGAAACCTCCCTACCAAATAGGCAGATATTTTTCTAGTCGACGGTTTCCTAAGATGAGTCTTTAGGCTCTGACCAAATGTGTGAGTCTGAGTTCCAAGCCCCATCCTTCATGTGCCCAAGGCTCATCTCTTGTCCCTAAATGGTTGTTAATCTAAGTTTCTTTGTAACTGAGCCCATCAACCTACTGCAGCATCTATTCATAAACTTATCATTTTGGTTTTCAGTTCCCCTTTCTATTTTGGCCCCTGGAATTTACCTTACTTTCTTGTGAGCTCTGTGGTGTACTTAAGGATATTTGTTCAATTCTGTCCAAAATTTCTAGGTGTTTTGTAGGAAGAGGGTTTTCAGGTCATCTAGTTTTCCATTTTGCCACAAACAGAAGTCTCTAAGGATACCTCTTAACACCAAGGAGCTTCAAAGACCCCACACACATACCCACATTCTAACACTGTCATCATCATCACCACCATCATCTTTGTCATCATCACAGCTAATATTGAATTAAAACACGTTCCAAGTACTGGGCTAAATGCTTTATATGGACTAATTTTTAAATTACCCGAATCCTATGAGGTATTTATTAATTATTAAAACTTTATAACCCATTTGTCAAAAATAGCTATGTATTCAGTAAAACTTTAAAGTAAGTTTTTAAAAAATATAATCACAATAGTACCTTATATATGTTTTAAATAGTTGCACGTATACATGCAAGATATATAATTTATCCCACCTGCAGACTCTGCTAGGTGAGCATATGGATTTCGGACTCTCCTTACAATAAATTCTCACTCGTCCCCACTTCACTCCCTTCCAAATAGGTCTGAGACTCTAGGTTGAGATTTAGTGCCCTTTGCAAAACATAAGGGAAAAACTGAGTTGCCACCATGGGCCGGTTACTGGTTTCCACAATGTTACCAACAGCTCGTTTGAACTGTATCACTTAAATACTACCAGTAGAATAGATACTATTGTTATAATTTTACAGATGAGGACACTTATATTCAAACAGATTAAATAGTTTATTCAAGATGACACAGTCAACATTAAAGTCAGGATTCAACTCCAAGTCTCCCAATACCAACTGCTATGCCCTTAGACCACACCAATGAATCACCCTTACTCCACCTACCGCATGCCCTAGTACAGCTGAGCAGGTAGTGTATGGCACAGTTTTAGGGGTGCCATTCACATTGTAGTCATCATAGACTTCTATATTTATTTTGATAATTTCCCAGCAGATGGCAATAAATCATATCAAGGAAAGGGTGCATTTTTCTAATTTAAACACAGTAGCAATATTTCATAAATGGTTTTCAGTTTCTTCATGGTCACCTTCTAAGAAATCCATTTCATTTCGTGCCTTTAATTGCCAGAATGTTTCCATCCAAGCCAAAATCTAGCACTTTGTAACGTCTACTAGTGTTCCTGTTCCTGCCCTATGAAGCTTCAAAGAATAAGTGCTAGTCTGCTAAGCCAGTAATTCTTAAATTCTAGTTTCCTTAAGAATCTACCTGGCAAACTTTTAAGAACCTCACACCTGAATTATAAACTTTTAAGAACCTCACACCTGAAATTATGATTCAATACATCTAGAATGGGAAATAGGAAGCTACATATTTAGCAAGCACTGTAAATGATCCCTGGAAAAACCAGTGGCAGACAGCTTTTATGCCCTCTCAATCTCTTAAGCAGTTCAAACATTCTCTGTTCCCAATTTAAGACTTCTCAGCTCTCTCTCTTTAGAAGACACAATACAGCATAAAGAACTCAAAACTGCATTCTCTGAAACCTACTATTAGAAGATGAACATTATATTCAAGAAAGTAAATTCAGAATGCTCCCCCAGTCCTCTGGTACATTCAGGATATTTTATTTGTCCCCAATTTCTTAGGACTTGCATTTTTTATGTATTAGAAGAAAATACTTTATACAAATATCCTGAAGACACTTTTTTTTTAATCAAGAGGCAGCATAGCATAGTGGCTAAATGCCTGAACTTTGAAGGAAACACACCTAAGTTCAAATCCATTTACTGTGCAACCTTGATCAAGTAGAATGTAGTAGTGAAAATGATCACTATGACTACACAAATCAACTTGAGTCAATCTCACAAACACAGTACTGAGATTAAAAAATGAGCTGCAGAAGAATACACAGAGTATGACACCATTTATATAAATTTAAAAACAGTACTCTACTGCTTAAGGATACAAACATATGTAATAAAAATACTAAAATGCCTGAAATTTATAATCATTCTTTAGAACAGCAGTTACTCCTAGGTAGGGGGAAAGACAATGTGAGCAGGAACAGTTAGTGGAGGAGTTGGTTTCAACTGTACTAGCTATGTTTCGTTTCTCAAAAGAGTGATGGGGGAATGACTCTTCATTATAATATTCTTTATAATTGTATGTCATATGTTTCAAATCAATTTTTCAGAGAAAACATAGTAATCATGAGGATTAACATTTAACAACAGGAAAAAGTGCTGGTGGATTCATGTTAAGAAAAAACATTAGAATGTTACTATGTTAAAAATGTGTCTTCTCAGAGCCTAAATCAATGCATGCCATAGAGCAGGCTCTCAATAGAGATTTGTTGAATTAGTGAAAGAAAACAGATTATTGTGTTTTGTATTAGACTAAACTTTTCATACAAACTTAATAAAACAGCAGTAATAAAAAAAAAAATGTGAAAAAGAGGGCTTCCCTGGTGGCTCTGTGGTTAAGAATCTGCCTGTCAGTTCAGGGGACACAGGTTCGAGCCCTGGTCCAGGAAGATCCCATATGCCGCAGGGCAACAAAGCCCATG